TTTTATTCTTGAGCTCCAGTTTCTCTTCAATAAAAGCGCACACACTATGTGTGCCTTCCTAAGGTTTAATGTATTGCTTGCTAACTTTTTGTATACCCTATTCAAGTGCATCCAAGTTCTCTGAACATCAATGCTTAAGTTTCACACCCTTAAATTTTTTTTTCATTACTGCGAAAATGAATAACTCACACTTTTCCACATTATACTACATCTGTGACATTATTGCCTCACTTAACCTAGCTCCATCTCTGTGACCTCATGTCCTCTTCACAACTCGAATTCCCACCCAGGTCTGTATTGTCAGCAATCTTAGAAACATTATTCTTTATCTCACTGCTTAAGACATTGACATGGAATGTAAATAGTTGAAGAATGACTTATCCTCACGACATTGGAGTCTCAGTCTTCCAACCTGTAAATGTCCCATTTACCTCAAGTCTCTGGTTCTTGTCCTTTAAGCAATCTGCCATCCATGCTAATATATTACTCCCAACTTCCATTAGCCCTTATCTAACATATTAATTTCTTATGTGGCATCTTTGAGAATGCATTTTGGAAATTTAAGTATTATGACATTGACTGATCTTCATCTAATATATTACTTATGTCCTCAAAAAGGTCTAATAAGTTTGTCAAATTAAACTTTCCTTTCTTTTTGTAAAACTGTGTTGACTTTCATCAGGTTTCCTTAATAACAGATTCTAGCAGTTTCCCCAATGACTGATATAATTGCTCATAATTGCCTGCGTCTCTCTTACTCTCCTTTATTTTTTTTAAATTTGGTCATGAGATGTGGGCATTGCTGCCTAGGTTAATACCTAATTGCCCAGAAGGCAGTTAAGAGTTAACCACACTTGAGCCATATGTAGGCTGGACCAGGTAAGGATGGCGTATTTCCTCCTATAAAAGGGCAGTGATGAACCAGATGAGTTTTTACAACACATCAATAGTGGTTACGGGGTCGCTTTTTAAATCAGATTTTTATTGAATTTGAATTTCATTGCCATGATAGAATTCAAACCCAGAACATTAACCTGGAGTTCTGGATCACCAGTCCAATAACATTACTACTATGTCACAACCTCCCCTCTTGAATATTAAAGTTATGTTTGCTAAATACCAATCTGATGGCTGCATTCTAGAATCTCAGGATGTTTTGAAATTCATAACTAGTGCATCCAAACATCTCTGCAGCTACCTTTATTAGAAATGTTGTGTATAAGCCACTGGATGTGAGAAACGTGTCAGATGTTAGCCTCTCAATTTTCTTAGATACCTCTCCCTGCTGATATCAATGTCAAAACTTCCTCATTCTTAGCCTGTTGGTTACCCAACTTTTCAGCTGTATAATTTGCATTTCTATTGCCATTTCCTTATTTTTCATGTTAATTTCTCCTGTCTCTGCCTCAAAAGGACCAGTTTACTTTAGCTGCTATTTTCCTTTGTATATCCTTATAAAAATCTTATCACCCATTTTATATTTTATACGGCCAGTTCACCCTGATTCTATTATTATCGTTTTTATCAACTTTTTAAATCACCGTTTATTAATTTCCCTAGTAAACCAAGGATGGTTCATTACTGCTTTTTATTTTATTGAACATTTTGAGCTGTTCATTAAACTTAAATCTTTTCCTCTATTTACCTAAACAGCATTAGCCAGCTCTCCTCTGATAACTGTAGAATTGGCATTTTTTAAGAAAAAAATTAAGACTTTTGTTTCAGACTGCAGTATATCACTTTCAAACTTTGTAATGAATTTAAGTGTGTTACATGGATCTGCAGGTGGCGGTAGAGGGCACAATTGAAATAATTTGCATCCGTATTTACCAAGAAGATGTTGCCAATGTCACTGTTAAAGAGGAAGCGGTTGTGATACTAGATGGGCTAAAATTGAATAAGGATAAAGTCTGAGAAATGCTGGATGGATGTAAAGTGGCTAAATCACCAGGACAGGATGGAATGGAATGCAGCAGAGGATATGGGTTAACTATGGAGGTTACAGGCTACGATTTTCCAACTTCCTTAGATTCAGGAGAAGGGTCATTGAACCAAAAATGTTAACTCTGCATTTTTTCCACAGATTCTGCCAGTCCTGTTGAGTTTTTTCCAGAAATTTTGTATTTTGTTCCTTAGATTCAGGAATGGTGCCAGACAACTTGAAAAATGCAAAATGTTACACCTTTCTTTGACATAAATGCAAGCCAGTCAGCTTACCTTGGTAATGGGAAAGATGAAAATCCAAGACAAACTCAAGAGTCATTTGCAAAGTGTGGACTAATCAAGTGTGGCAAGCCAGTACAGATTTGTTAAAGGCAAATTATGTTTAAGTAATGATGGATATTTTGACAAGTAACACAGTGGGCTGGTGGGCTTAATGCAATTCACAGAATCAGATGAGGTTGTTATGGTCATCGCATCTGCACCAGCTCTCTAAATGAGCATCGTGGATCAGTACCATTCTCCTGTCTTTTCCCCATACCCTTGCATGTTGTTTCAATTTAAATAATCATCTGATGCCTTCTTGATAGTTTGAATTGAGACAATCTCTGCTGCATTTCCAGGCATTGCATTCCAAGCTTGAACCGCTTGTTGTGTGAAAACATTTCTCTCACCTCACATCTGCTGCTTTTGCAAATCAATTTAAACCTATGCCCTCTTATTTTTTGATCTTTTTATAAGGTAGAACAGTTTCTGCCTTATTACCCCATCCAGCTTCTTCATGATTTTGAAAATTTCTATCAGGTTTCCTCCTAGGCTTCTTCTCTCCAATCTATCCCGAGAAGCAAAGCTGATATGGTGTATATGGACTTCCAAAAGATCTTCGGTAAATTGTCATATGATGGTAAAGTTGAAGCCCATGGAACAAAAGGGAAGTGTTAAACTGAGTACAAAGTTAGCTGAGGAAAGACACAGCAATTATGAATGGCAGCATTTTGAACTAAAGGAAGTTATAAAATGGTCTCGGTCAGTGCTAGGGCTGCTGTTTTCTCAATATGGATTATGACTTAGACAATAGGCGTGCAGTGCACAATTTTAAAATTTGCAGATGACACAAGGCTTGGAAGAATTGTGAATTGCGAAAAGAATAATGAGAGATTTAAAGTAAACACAGTCAGCCTGGGAGATTAGGAGGACCCAGGGCAGATAAAATTGAATGCAAGGAAGCATGAACTGATAATTTCTGCGAAAGGAACAGAGAGGCAATATAACATTAAGACAAAATTCTGAAGAGGGAGAAGAGGCATCAGAGGGCATGTGCACAAATCATTGAAGATGGCAGGATTGTTTTAGAAAATAGTTAAAAATGTATACAGGATTCTGTATTTTATAAGTAGAGACTCCTACAAAAACAAGAAAATTATGATGAACGTTATAAAACACTGGATCAGCCTTAACTTAGTAAGGAGTCTAATTCTGGGCACGACACTTTAAATGTAAAGGGTTTTAAGGATAAAAGAATTCCACAGGTTCATCAGTCACTGGGTGAAAAAAATTTCTCATCTCAGTCCTAAATGGCTTACCAGTATCATTAGACTGGAAAACATGGAGCAAAAACAAAGTTGCTGGAAAAGCTCAGCAGGTTTGACTATGACTATGACCCCAGTCTTACCATCGACCATCCATGATTCTTCAACAGCACTTTTCAAACTCACAACCTAGGCTACCATAAAGATAAAAGAGAAGTAGATGTAAGGGAACACCACTAAACAACTTCCCCACGAAGTCACACACCATCCTGACACAGAACTATGTTGATGTCCCTTCATTATCACTGGGTCAAAATCCTGGAACTCCCTCCCTAATTGCACTGTTGGTGTAACTAAATCACATGGACAGCAGCAGTTGAAGGTGGCAGCTCACCACTACATCCTCCAGGGCAATAACTACTAGTGGAGCCCACCTCCCTGAATGAATAGAAAAAAGTCATGCAACATAATAGGCAATAAAATTAATTGGAATTTTGTTTTAAATGCAATTACTTTTTTAAATAAACAGAAAGCAAATTTCACATGATTTTTAAACTTTGTAACTGAAGTATTTGAAGTGGCAAGATGAACCAAGATACCTTGCAATTTTGACAATTTCTAACGGATAGCTATGAGGACCTGCTAATTCACTGGAAAGTGGGAACAATGAAGTTTGAACATTAATTTTTACTGAAAACCAAAAAAAAAGCTTAACTTCAATGTGGAAATTGTCTTCTTTCCCATTTGCCAATTTTCTTCACAGCATTGATCTTCTATCATTACCCAACAGTATGCTGCAGTTCTATTCCTCATTTACAAAGCTAACAATTACAGACAAGTTTCATTATCCATCTTTGCATGTGAAAGGGTCATAAATACTCATGTGAAGTAAAAATATTAAAAAATTAGGAAACTGGGATGATCAAGTTAAATAGCATGCCTAACAGTATGTTTATTAGCCTATTCATATTCTAAGTCACATTTATCAAAAACTCACTGACAGTTCCATATATAGCCCATCACTTTTGGAAACTCATACATAAATGCACACCAACTTCCAACTTCTTCAATTACTCATCAACTTGGGATATCTATGAAGGAAATGGTATACAAAAATGGATTTACATTTGCAAACCATTTCTACTTGTGTACTTCAATTCATCCTCCAACATCAGGCCACAGCAAAATGGTGGTTGAACTTTGGAATGCTATCGTGAATACCCAAACCTTGGAGCACTCTTCACTTATGGGATAAAAATAAATAGTACTACGGAACTACTATAACAGTGTAGTTTCATCTGTGTGTGATCTACTTATTTGTGATTATCCAATCTCGAAGATGACCAGCTATTTTCCCTTTTGACTTTGCCAGAATAATGTTCCTTCTTGTAACAAGACTGCCTTGGGTATTGATCTTCAAGAAGGCAGAAAAGATCCTTCAAATAATGACATCAAGAAACGCTATATACATACTAACAAAATCTACCTAGAATAATTAAAATATTCATAGAAGAAAGTGAAAATTCATGTTCAATTTACCTGTCTGAGTTCATCGGACATAAAAAAAGAAGGCGCATTTGCTTTAGGCTGCATATAAGCAACATGGGGTGCAGACGAAGGATAAATATGATAAGTTGGAAACACCTGAGAAACAAGAAAACTCAAAAATCAATTGCAGAACTTAACTATCCATATAATGCAAAATTTTGAACATAGTAGCTTGCAATAATGGCAGAATTAATGCAAAGTTTTTGCTCAATAATTTGTAATTAGTTATACACTTTACACACTCACACAGCACTTGCTCTACAGAATACATGAAATAAGCAGTTAGCTTACATTGTTCCATTACCCCATTCCAAGTTCATTTTCTGCTGCAGGGCAAGCACGTGATTTGCAGTAATTAACAAAAAATAGTATCTACACACCATTCCTGGAAGAGGTCCTGGAGTTGTGTCAGTATAGAAGTAAGTTGTCCCTCCCACAGTTTCTTTTTGTATCACCTGACCAGAAGATGGAGACTGAGAGACTGCGTCAGATACTGGTGTAGAGGCACTAGTAGGTACCATGAAATTTGCTGGATTTGGAGTATGACTCCTCCTTCGAGGCGCAGGTGATGTGTGGGGAGTTATTTTTGGAGAATGCAGAGGAGATGATCCTGCTGATAAGGACATTCCTGGAAAAGGTCAACAGCTTTGTCAGAAACAAATCTTCAAAACTACGGTATTTGCAAACACCAGATATTTTTAAAACATCTTAGAAGTTAATTTATTGGTATTGCTTCTAAGACTAAACACTTCCCACACACTTACGAGCCGCATCGAATGCATTATGCCCATAAAATTCCAACAGGCTACTTTTGTGAAAATCATGGTGCATGATGGGATAACAGAAATTGATTTTATTTTGACCATCTTAGAAACTTACAAAATGTTGTTTCCCTGATAGCTATCACATGAACAGTAGACACAAAGGCTGGATTTCTAACTGATTCCTTTTTTCTCTAAGGAGAGGTAAAGAAGCAATGGGATAACTTCAGCATTGTTATTAATAGTAAAATCCTTGTTTACTAAAACAAATTATTGCACAGGGATGCTTACAGTACTAAAAAGATTAGAGCTAGTGAATGAAATCTAATTACCCTTAATTTCAAACTCTTTGGTGCAATTTCTGTTTCAGACAATGCAAGGGTGTTATGCAATATTAGTGCTTGAAGAAATCACCTCTGATAATCCCACCACAAATTCTAGCTTCCTCATAACCTATTTTACATTACTGTAAAATCAATATTATTATGCTTAGTAATGCTCAAACCTTTCTCTTTTTTCCTTTAAGTTGCTATCTGCTTATTTTTCTACCTGCATCTACCAAAATTTTGAAATGGGGACTCACTGCAGTGTTTTGCTTGGCAATGGATTCCTTAAGATTTCAGAATTGGGGAATTGCCTGCTTTAGTCGTCCTTCCATCTCAAATTCTCTATGTATCCTACACTCCATTAAATCCACCCACTTGGACAGTGAAACTTTAAAAACCTAAACCAATGTCTAGTTTTGATTTAATAATCCAAAAGCTTTTTTAACCTCAGTATCTTCATGGTTTCATGACATGAGATGATTGTACACTGCAAACAAAGATCCTAGTTTTCCAAATAAGTAACATCACAGATCAGCTGAAATATCATTCATACTAAATACCAGCCGATCACGTTAAAAGAAGGGACATCTTAATACTATATATGTTTCCTATTTTTGGAAGTCATCAGGTTAGAAGCAGAACCTGTGAATTTGTCCTTTATCGTCCAAGAGTAAAGTATCACCTTCACTGCAGATTAACAGTTTCCTGTTTAGGAATGCAGAAAGTACACGTGCTTGGTTGTGTTAAAAAAAATGTCAGCTTCAAAAGAGAGAGTGTGAAGTTAACTCTGATAAACTAAAACGAATAACTGGCATGTAATAAGTGTTCAAACAAGAGGAGATGATTCAAGTATACAAGGTTTATCGCCACAAGAAATGCAACAAAGACTGGAATTCCAAGGGTTTTGGGAACATTGTGCTTCTGTGAGTGTGTGCCCCAGATGATCTAGGGTTCAAGTACCACCTGTCCCAGAGGTGTGTCATAATATGTCTGAACAGGTTAATTAAAAATAATTGTTCATGTGAAAGAGAGCAAGACAAAGCGAGACAGAGACAAAATGAGCTCAACTTGCATACTGGGCGCACAATATCACAATTTGCTGACAGTGCATATATAGGAAGTATAACTAACCAAGAGGTCAGTATTCAAATACAGGAGGACACAAACAGGGTCACAGATTTTGCATATCTGTGCCAGATGAAATTGAATTCAGAGAAATGAGACATATTTTAAAAGAACATATATACTAGGACTTCCCAAAGTGAGGGTCATGTTTGAAAGGGTTCCGAGCTGAAATTTTAGGAGCATGAGCTCAGAGGCACAATAGCAGCCGTGGAGCTCTGATAGCATTACAACTGCCTGGTTTTACTCAAGTGACACATACTCACTTGTCTTCACACAGAATGTCCCTAATACATTTAGGTGCTTACTTAACTACTCTTTCAGCCTATCATGCCACCTTCAGTGATTTATAGACACTTGTATATATACTTAGGTCTTACTATTCCTGTAACCACTTCAAAATTGTGCCACTTAATTTGTGCAATCTCTTGTGCAATCTCTTAAAAAGAGCAAAATGGATCAGGAAATAATGTAAGGAATGGTTGGTAGTGCTACCAAGCAGCACTTGCAAAGGAATAACATACTTAATAACACAGTCTAGGTTCTACCAGAGCAAGTTGACTCTTCATCTCATTGTCAAATTATCAGTAAACAAGGGCTGCAACATTCAGCAACAATCACAATTCCTTAAATACTGAAGCAGTCCACGTCCATTTGCAGCACAACTGGACAATTTACAGGCTTGCGCTGATAAATAAGATTTGCACCACACATCTGCCAGGCAATAACCATTTTCAAGAAGAGAGAATGGAGTTACTGCCCTTTGCCAGTCAATGGCATTACCATGTCTGAATTCCTTCCCACAGCAACATCCTCGGGGTTATCACTGGCCAGAAATTTAACTGACTAACCACAAATCTGTGGCCATAACTCTCTTCCTGATTCCCTAAAGCTTGTCCACCATCTGCAAAGCATTAATCAGCAGTGTCAGAATACTCCCTGCAGTGATTGTAATGAGTTCAGCTAGGTGGGCCTCTGAATAGGAGTTCCCTGACTGGACCAGGTTAACAGCCCCAATCAGGGAGCTCTGGCTGATAGATGTCAACAGCAGCAGAGGTTCTGTTCACCCCGAGAGCTGCTCTGACGCAGCCGGACCATTATTGAGTTTTTTTTAAATTCATTCATGGGATGAGGGTGTCACTGGCCAGGCAGCATTTATTGCCCAGATGGCAGTTAAGAGTCAACCACATTACTGTGGGTCTAGGGTCGCACGTAGGCCAGACCAGGTAAGGATGGCAGTTTCCTTCCCGAAAGGACATTAGAGAACCAGACAGGTTTTTCCTGACAATCGGCAATGTATTTATGGCCATCATTAGACCCTGAATTCCAGATATTTACTGAATTCCTGGATAGCTGGATTTGAACCTGCGTCCCCAGAACATTATCACTGGATTAACAGTCCAGTGATAATACCAGTAGGCCATCACCTCCCACATGCATGTGTAAATAAAGGGTGACTTGGTGATGGGATACCAGCCTCTGTGGAGTTATTTTATTCCCATTTGCTTACGAGTGCGGCTAAAGCCACTCTCAAAAAGCCCAAGATCGGAATGACTGTATTGAATGGTGGAGCAGGGTCAAGGGCCAGAATTGACTACTTCTGCTCCTATTTCTTATGTTCAGGTCCAAGCAGCCTGCAGTGACATGTGGTAACATCACTAGACTAGTAATCCAGAATCCTAAGGCTAATGCTTTAAGGACATTGTTTAAAATCCCACCATGGCAGATTTCAATAAAGAAACTGGAATTCAAAGCTAATCTAATGATGACCATACAATCACCACTGTTTAAGGTTTTTTTTTAAAACAATTCTGGGAAGGAAATCTACTGTCCTTACCTTGTCTGGCCTACATGTGACTCCAGTTGATTCTTAACTGCCTTCTGGACCAATTGATTTCAACCACCAGGCTGTAAAAAGTTGAGAAGTGTGCCACAAAATATTTGGGAAGCAGTGTGCTTTATCTGCTGAAACAAGGTAACCCTATAGTGAGGGTACCAGGGGAACAGCTGCCAGCATTTGGTTGATGCACAGTGCTGTCCCTCAGTGCGTACAGCCAATGAGTTGGTCACCTTCGGCCTTTGCTGGGTTGAGCCAGTTGGGTCACTCTTGTGGGCCTCAGCAAATTAGAGAACACCCGGTGAGAGAGTGTGGCAGCTGCAGTGCACAGAAGTGGCTCTTTGTTGGAGCTGAATCTGAGGGAAGGGGGGATTGGTTCAGTATCTCAGTGGAGCACAGCATGGTTGGAAGCAGCTGGTGCCAGTGGCATCTGGACTTCCACTCCACAATTGGGCTGCACAGTGACCTCTGTAAGATGGCCACGCGTTATGAGAGGCAGCTGGATAATCAGAGGAGCCTCACTAATCACTCAGTGTCTCAACTCTTACTATGGTATATTAAATGTGAGCATTCAACTCAGCTGAAAGAAAGTGGGTGTACCATGGAATTGTTTCTCTCATTAAAACGTTGATACTGAAAAGGTTGGGAATCCTGATCTAGACTATTAGAGATGGGCATTATATGCTGGCCAAGCTAGTGAAGTCCACATTCCCTGAAAGAATTTTTTTTAAAAATACACTTTTATTCCACCGAAATTGCTTACTCCCACATTTGTTTATTCTGACTTTGAATCAGTCCTCGTCATTTTCTGTAGCCAACCTAAACTTTATGATACATTGATCATTAACATTTGATCCACATGGCTCACCATCCCAACAATTTCTTCTTTCTGGTCAGACTGGAAAAGTACACTGTAGAAAATGGTCCTGAACACACTCCAGGAACTTTTGCTGCTGTCTACACATTAATTATCCAAATAGAGTTTGACATAGTGGTATAAAGTTCCTTATTATAGCTATTTTAGGTTTCTTGTAACATGCTTACCAATTTGTTCCTCTACGTCTTTCCAACAAGTTGGTGATCTGTGGACTACACTGAACAACGTAATTGTATTCTCTGCTCACTAGCTCTACTCAAATAGATTGTCATCGATTGAATAGGGACATTCTTTCTAGTAGAGCAATATTCTGCTTAATCAATACCTCATCTTTTCTCCCTTTCCCGAACATGTCATATCCAGGAATATAACAATTCTGCCACGTTTTGAGCCAGGTCTTTTATTACCACATCACATTCTTTGTAGCCATCAGCAACTCAGCAATCTTATATAGAATACTCCATGCATTCAAATACGTGCATGGTAATTTTGACTTTGTTTTTCCCACTTACCCTGAAATTCCCAAGAACTCCTACTCTCTTTCCCAGTACTCCACGCACGATCGTACTTCTCTCAAATTACTTATTAAAACACTCCCACCCGCAAAAAGACCCAGTTCCCTCAGGGCTGGTCCCAATGTCCCAGGAATCTAAAACTGCCCAACCTGCACCAAGTTTATAGCCAAATACTCATTTAATTCCCCTA